GTTTGGCCTCCTTGTCATTTGAGGGATTCTTGGTCTGAGATGATCTTGTTCTCTGTTGTGCGGCATCCACGACAAGGGAGTTAGGCTGAGGATGTGTAAAGAGAAACTCCATATCTTTCTGAGAGATGAAGTACTTCTTATCCGACCGCTTATTAGTTGGTAGCTAAGTGGCCGGGGTCTGCCAGATGTCGTTGGCGATCTCCAGTATAGCTTCATCAAAGGGAAAAGCGAGCTTCGACTTTTGGGAAGGTTGTAAATTTTTAAGCAATCGATGTTGTTTCTGTTGCACGTCCGCGGTCTGAACGTCCTGGGATTGTGCAACTCTCTTGAAGAGCTCCTGGAACTGCTTGTGGTCCTCCGTAGTAGACAAGTCCGGAGGGACCACCGCGTCATCCTGCGAGGATGAGGAACGCTGCGCCGGGGAATCAGGGCTCTGCTGTCCTTGAAGAGAAGTGTGTTCCTGCTTATCCTCGTGATATTGCGAATCCAGGTCCCCAGCCGAGGATGGGCGAGGATGAGGAACGCTGCGCCGGGGAATCAGGGCTCTGCTGTCCTTGAAGAGAAGTGTGTTCCTGCTTATCCTCGTGATATTGCGAATCCAGGTCCCCAGCCGAGGATGGTGGCGCTACATAAGGAGCAGACTCGTCCAGACCGTGTGGAGATTGATGCTGAGAAGAATGCGGTGATCGCAATCGCGAATACCTTCTGCAGCGAGATGAATGAGAAGAGTACTTGTGATAATAGCGATCCTCCCTCCGACTGCGGCAGGGAGAACGGCTGTATTTTCTCAATGTGTCATATCGCCGATGGTAGTCTGTACGGCTTGGGGATCTTGGTGAAAGGGATCTCCTATAGTAGCGTGAGGGCGAGCTCGAATAGCGATCCCGATAGTATCGACGCGGCGATGAACGACGAGGTGACCTATAGTAGGGCTCCCTGGAGGTCGAGTAACGGTGACTGTGACGACGGTAATCAGCATGGGACGAGGTAGGTGAGTCAGGTCCAGGTGAGAAGGTGACACTGTCCGGAGTTATTGATGGTGTCCGGACTCTTGCAGTCTTTTGCTGAGCTTTGGTTGGCACCGAGGCATTGCAGGCAGGCTGAAGAGGTGCTTGTGTGAGAACAGCACACAGTGGAGAAGCCTCTGCCACTTGAATGTCTGCCACATGAACGGCAGAGTAAAGGCTCGGTGCAGCTTGATCCCCCGACAGGGTGAAAGCAGGAGGCTGGGCTGGCAGAGACTCCTGCGGTGGAGGTGCATCCGGTGCCGATATGCCCGGCACCGAGGAGCCCAGGGTGGCACCTAAGGAAGGCGCTGCGGGTGCCGTCATGGCTGGCTGCGAGCGCGCATGCGCCGGAACTCCCGGTGCCGGGGCTTCCCTTGCCGGTTCCGCAATCGCCATTA